TTATGATAAAATTCAAGATCCTGATGATATCAAGATTGATTGTTCGATGAAAAATGCAGTGTATTTTTTGGCAACTTCCACTGCTTTTGAAATATTTTTTCAGAATGGACTCGAGAATTCAATGGGCATGATATCATCTCTCAAAAACCAACAGAAAGGAAACCCTTTCTGAAACAAGCATCTAAAGCTTAACCTCATTTGTTTATGCAGCCATTACATTACTTTTTTGTACTATTCCTATTTCACAATGCCATGTTCATATTTCATATGATATCAGAATTAAGATCAGCAGTTCTCTCTCTGAAACATATCGTTTTGTTTCAGTATTTTTATCTGTTGCAATGAATATTTGAATTTCAAATTAACTTAGTATTTATTGTATTTTCAATGAAAATATCACATCTATCTCCCTAGTTTCCATGAATGTATGAAATTTCACATATTCTTGGTTTTATATCACCCAATTATTTGAATTGTGTGTGCCACTGTCGTTGGAGGGGAAGTCACTTCACTTCAACACAATCTGTTGGTTTGCTGAGTCCATAATTTTTCGTATGTCCATGGCTAGTTCTACATCAACATAATTTCTTTTCAAGTTAATAATGTCGTATTGAAATTCGACAATCCCGTGATTTTGGATGAGTTGAGCCAGTTGTGATCCACAAACTTTATTACCTTCAGTCTTGAGTTATCAGTATATCTTTTTAACCAACATATATACTCCATTAAGATTGGAGTATTTGTAGCAAAAATTGATAGTAAAAATAGTAAAATCATTTTCAACTGCTCAAACCAATGAAATCTATTCACGACTAACCAAACGATCTAACTAGCAGATAACATTTCATTAATAATTCTTCGGTAAACATCGCATGTTTGATAATCGTGGGTGGCCGCCATAACGACCGTTCTCCGAAGCACAGAGAGCCGTCGGAAGAAAAGAAGAAGACGAATGTTCGAGAAGCCGTAAAAATACGGCTTCGATACTATCGTGCCGTACCGTTGTTTCACTCCTAATTTCAAGGGAACAACTTAATCGATGACTTGAATGAGTTCTAGTGGACGGAGAGAGATGATGAAGCGATAGAAAAAGGTGAAAGTAATCCGGAGTCGTTCGGGAGGCGGTGGAAGAGAATGGTCGACACTGATGTGGGCTTTTTATGTTATGATCCGAACGGGATAATTCGACCACGTGGATTCAGATTCGTATTGAATTACTGATGATGAAGTTATTAGGCACAACAGAATAATTTGGTTTCTCTGACGGAGAAGAATTTGAATTAGTGTATATTCAGATTAGTACTTAGAGGAACGGTTTGGTTGATGGTTGATTTTTCCGAATAGAAAAATTTAAATACTGACACAAAAGTGATCGTGTCACAAAATGTTTTGAAACTGTCTGTTTATATTTTCTTTTTTGTCGTTTGTTAAAAACCGCCTTTATGAAGCTTGACAGTGTATTTTCTCAAAAAAAATATTATAAATCGACCATAGTTTCAAGAGCTACAGTCAATCATACTTTGAAGAGATCCACAAAGAATCTCAATCGTATTTTGATGTTATTAAGCATAGAAAAACAAAGTTTAACAACGAAGTGCTAGGTGGCTGAAGTTGAACGTCCATTGAGAACACTCTGAACGCCAGTTTCAATAAGCCCGAACATAAAGATAAAAAATTGCGATATTAAGTTGTCCAACAACTAGTCGTAAAATTATGGTAAAAACGATAAACTTTCTGAAAATTTACTTCATCGAAACACACCAACATCTGTGGCTCGATATTAATTACAGAAAACCGCCTTGCTTTTTATGTATATGCAAAAATTTAGGGTCGAAAGAAGGGTTGACTTGACCCTCAATCAACCTAATCGTCTCTTCATTGATAAATTCTCCATAATATATATACATTTTAAAAGAGTAGATTATTACAGTGTATCAAGTGAAAAATTATCATAACGGGTGATTTTTTAAGAGGTATAGGATTTGATTTTCAAAACAACACAAAAAATTTGAAAAAATTGATGAAATCTTTATTGAAATCGATAGAACGATCGATATAATTTAATGTTTGAAGATGATTTCATGTAAATGTCCGCGGCTCCGCTTTAGATGGCCCATGCGCAAGGTCCAATTTTGGCACACTCTCACTAACATATCAACCGGTATTTCACGTATAAATGCTTCAATTTTGGCTTCCAGAGCATCAGTTATTGCTGGTTTATCCTTGTTGACATGAGCCTTAACATGACCCCCCACAAGAAATAATCCAGAGGCGTTAAATCACACGATCTAGGCGGCCAATTGACGGGCCCCAAATGTGAGATAAACTATTCACCGAAGGCGGTTCTTAAGTGGGCCATTGTTTCGCGTGTCGTGTGGCTCGCCATTCACAGTAACGTTCCGGCCATTGTCGTCTTTGAAGAAGTACGGCCCGATGATGTCACCGACCCATAATCCACACCAAACAGTGACTTTTTCGGGATGCATCGGTAGCTCTTTCAATGCTTGTGGCTGGTCTTTACTCCAGATGCGGCAATTTTGCTTGTTAACGTATCCATTCAACCAGAAATGAGCCTCGTCCCTGAACAAAATTTTTCGATAAAAATGTGGATCCTCCTCCAACTTTGCCAGCGCCCATTCACCAAATGTTGTGGGAGGTCGTGTGGTTTCAATTCTTGCACTAGCCGTATCTTATAAGGTTTCACATCCAAATCCTTTTGCAAAATTTTCCACGTAGTGGACTAACAGAAGCCCAATTGCTGCGAACGGCGGCGAATCGACATTTCACGGTCATCACGAACACTGGCGAATACAGCCGCAATATTTTATTCGGTCCTCACTCTACGTTTGCGTGTTGGTGGTTTAATGTCCAATAATGTAAACTGGGTTCAAAATTTAGTCACAAGCTTCCGAATAGCTTCCTTGGTAGGCCGACGAAACTGCTCATAAATTGGAAGAAGTGCACAATGCACTTTCTTCACCGAACATGGATTTTGATAATAAAATTCAATAATTTACAAGCTTTGTTCATTCGTAAGTCGATTATAGATCAAACTGAACAAGTTTGACAATGACACAAGACATGATTCACGCGTGATCTGTCAAAAACAGTCTTGCCAAAAAGATACCAGCAAAAAATCACCCATTATTATCGAATAATTTCGTCAGCATGAAAATTATGAACTCTGGATTCGATGATGTCAACGAAGACCGTTTTTCCTGGTCCTGATTTTCGAAGACTCTACCGGTGAAAAAGTTATTGGTATTTAGTAGTCGGTTAACGAGAGGTCTGGGTAGTAAAGTGGGTGAGGCAAAGCTACGACGCTCAACTCGTTTAATTTTAACACGGTGATTTGTGAAACGTGCGGACGGGCATTGTTGTGGAGCAGAATCGAGTCGCTGTGTGGACCAGTGCAGGCTGCTGCCGCCGGAATTTTCGTTACATTTCGTGATTTTCTCACAATAGGACTCTGCTGTGATAGTTTCACCTGGTTGCAGAAAGTAATAGTGAATCACAACAGCCGCTAAACACAATGCTGTAACCATGGTCTTTTTTTGGTGGGTTTTCCCTTTGGTAAGTTCCTGGGTAGCTCATCGGTGTCTAACCATTATCCCGAATGTCTTTTCATCATACGTCACGATCCGATCCAAGAAAGGATCGTTTTGGTTTTGCAAAAGCAAAGGATAACGATCTGTCGATCGTTCAAACTGTGGGGCACCTACTTTCCGAGCTTTTCAACCTCTCCAACCATCAAAAACCGCATGGGAGCTGACGCCCAGTTGTTCCGCCATCTCACGCAACGTTCGTGATGGGTTAGTCTCCACCAGGATTCTCAAAAGCCCGTCCTGGATTACTGTGGGTCAACCACTTCGGAGCTCAGCTTCAAGGCTAAAATCTCCGGTGTTGTAAAGTCCGAAGATGCTATTGCATAGCATTTAATACGTTATATTGTTTCTGGGAGAAGACGGAACTAATTCACTAATCACCTTCGATAATGTAGTCTCCTGTGTGCTGTTGTGAGCTTCTAACATCAGAATTATAATCGAGCTGTATGTCGTTCTCTGAGAATCAACATATATGAAGGGGTTAGGCTTTCGTTCGAAATCTTATGTTCGTTGTTCGTGTAGAATCTAAAGAACTTCCACACCTTGGTCTGATCCTTTCGTCTAGGTCAGTTTTCTACTCGATATTCTTTGATTCGGTTTTCATTTCAATCCTAGAATGGTACGCCCAAGAAAATTCACTTGCTTTTAGAATATCGACTACTTGTACTTGCTGATTCAGCAGGATATTTCTAATCGTTATTAATACCTTTTCAATGTTATCCACATTCACATTGGCTTGATCAATCCATCTCGTCAGTGTTCCTCAGCTTCTATTTCGCTCGCAGTCATGACGTTCCTTGAATTATTTCCAGAACTAGATGTTTTCTATACATATTTCCATTTTCGAACTGTTCTCTACATATATCCCGGAGAATATATCTGTCGAACAAGCCTCCATATATTCCCACTCGATATCACATCAGGCTGATAATTTTCTCACTAGCACCAGACTCTAGTTTACTCTGAATTTGCCTCATTAAAATGGAACATGGAGGTTAACGTTGAAATAGTTTGTTTGGTTAGGGACAGCCAGTCATTTACTGGAGCAACGTTGCCTGTATATCAGAAACGAATTCGTCGTTTCCCTCAAACACGAAAACTCCATTTCGAAACCGCACAAAAGAAATTCGTCGTCCCCGTTTATACCGCGAACCCCGTCAAAACCATTTCAAACATTCGATTCCTCTCAAACACTCGACATTAACGTAACAAAAATGTATAAATACAGCTCTGAAAGTTAAACACGACTTAAAATCTGAAAGCTAAGGATCATCCTGGAAACTCTATAAATACTTCTGTCACAAGCGCGTCTTTTAATAAGAGCCACAACAGTGAGTCGGAGATTCAACAACAAATCGGGCCGGTTCACGTTGATAGACAGCAAGACATACTTACGTTGACGGCCGAGTAGCCGGCTGCTGACGTCCTCGCTCTGAAACAAAACAATAATCGTTAGAAAAACCTACACACACTCTGCGGGCGACGTTGCCGCGTCACGACATTGAACGAACGTTAACGGAAATGTGCGACACGAGTGGTAGGGTGGATAATTCGCGGGAAAGGATTTACGTGCTTGTTTGCACGTTGAAATTGACATTAACGTTGCTTACGGCTCTTTATTTTTTATACATCAATCATGGATAAATGAAAAAGTGTAGAGCCAAAAACAGTTTTAAACTACATCAGACAAGTATGTTTCAATCGAGGAAAAAATTCTGACACTAATTTCTGCTTTTGAAGTAGAGCTGTTGAAAGAAATAGGATTCCAAACATTCAAAGGTTTTACACGCTCAATTTAACACTGTTGATAAAACTGCTTAGAACAGTGAGTTCTGTCGATATTTACTTATAATAATATCCTGGTAAGACAAAGATTTGTCGCTTATTCCTGATTGTGGATTCGTTTTCAAAGTTCTATTCTATTCAAATCTGGTCGGTTCCGATTTCTTTATGCTCTTTTTATGTTCGTGCCTTGGAGCTGTTTCTTCAAGAGAAACAGAGAATTCAGTGGTTTCTTGACGTGAAAAGAGCGAATCCTTTATTGAGTAACAACAACGATTACGTAATGATAAGCTCCTTGCTAGTCTGGCAAGAATATAGTTATGAACGAAGATTGAATGGGAAACCAACTTTTTATTTGGTATATTCCCTTCGTAATGCATGATTTAACTTTTGATGTTCACAACGATAACATTTCTTTTAGTATTCCCATGATTCATATTTAGTGAATTATGAATCCGTGAAGAATATCACTTAATTAATCTAATGTCATTACTTCAAAAATCAATTATGCAACAAGTGCTCAAACATCGAACAAAGTAATGCGAATACATTCATAGTAGGCCCTCCCCGTGTACTAAAGCGTAATAGGGTCTGGGGTCGGAAGTTACGATCCATCATAAGGGATCAAACGGTTTTGACGCTACTGTAAAAACCACGTGATTTAATTTAACTTTTAATTTGGCCTACAGTGGCCCAAGTGTAAAGAAACCAACTTAATTAGTATTCAGTAGAAATTTTCGGTTGAAAAAGGAACTTTCAATTTTAATCAAAGGCACATCTTTCAAAATAATTTCGAAACTGAGTTGTATTCAATTAACTGTATTGAATTTTCTATCTGTTTTTATAGACAACTGTCTGTAAAATGAAAATTCTTATATTATTGTTGGGAATTAGCCCCTGAAAAAATAATGCCGGCCGCCGCTGGCCTTTGTCAATCAACTATGACTGTGCGCTCAATTCTACTTGTCGTTTGTTGTAGGTGTCGTGTCGCTTCGAGAATATTCCTATCGGCTTCCGAAGACTTCCATTGGGATATATAAGCACTACCAACAGGCAGATGGGGCTAATCTAGTTGAAAGTGCGGTACGTAACATTGTCAACTTATTCTCTTCACAAAATAATTTCTTTATACATTATTTCAGAATTCAAACAGTGTATATTTCATCGTTCACCGAATGATTATATATTTTTATACATTTTACAGTCGAATTTTAAAAGGGATATAATAAAAATATTTTTGGATATCTCGCTAGACAAGAAGGCAAGACATTTTAAGTATTTTTTTGTACTGATTGTACAAAAGCGATTTGAATTTTTCGAGTCAAAGACTCGAAAGGCCATGAACGGCAAAACAATCAAATACCTCTGATTACTTAATCAGTACAATTGCTTCGTTATCTTGAGCATTTAATAAAATGTGTACCATCATTTCAAACAAATAACTAACCACTCAATGCTTGTTCGATTGAATCAATTCCACGTTGAACATCACTCAAGTATTGATTGATCCAAAGGCAACGGAGCCCGCAAGAGAATTCGTTCATTTACTCCACGAGAGTGAAGTTTCGTCGAACGGAGGTGGCTATCGAGTTGCACCGGCGGAGGACCACCTGTTAGATGCAACACCTGCGGGCCAGGTGATTTAGCGAGACAAAAGTAATTCTCCCAACGGAAAAGTCGCGTTTATATCCTCAAGAAACGGCCGTCGCCAAAGCTCTACGAAAACACAACACAATACAAATAATGAACCTTTCACGAACGACACAATACTTCCTTCATTCGATTCTATTCGAGGAGGAACTATACTCGTTATATTACAGTAAATGTGACAGAAAATTGAGGCGATGACAGAAGGTATTTTGAACAAATTCAGAGCTGAAGTTCCATTCATATCCCTGATAATAAAAGCCTGAATTATGAACACCTACAAAGTTGAAACCAATAATTCGATAAATCAACAACAAACATGATTTCAACTGTTGATACATCAATAAGAGTACTTGAACTACGCCACTGAAGATGACTGTTGCAGTTGAAACGTTTGGAGATTGTAACAAAAGAAGACCACTAATAGTTGTAACAGTAGATTAGATTGATAGTGGAACTGGCATATAGCGTTTCACTGTGACCTCTACAGATATATTGTGATGCTTCTTGGTTATTAAAGCTCTTTATCTAGCGTAATCTATTTGATGAGACTCCAAAGCCTCGATATTGACTTCTTCATAAACCGTATATAGCCTCTGGTTTCTCATTATCGCATCTCCCATGCCTTAGACTTGCTAGTTCTTCGGATTTAAATAGCAAGTTTAGTGCGGTTTCTTCTTCTTCCTGGCATAACCTGCATGGGCCATAATGCTCATATATGCTTTAAGCCAACAAACACCCGTTAGAAGACCTTCAACTACCCTTACAACCCTGCGGTTTTGGTTTAGCAAGTCTGCAATATTTCTGGAAGCCCAGCCCAAAGAAGGGTTCTGGACCTATCGTAGCCTTGTGTCCTTCGTGTCCGAGTATTCGGGAGCTTAGCTCATTGAGCACGCCAAGACAGCTCCCTAGAAGCCGAAAAAAGGCTTGGTAGGAGCTGAGCACCTCAATTGCCGCCTGGCTGTCGGAGAAGAAGGCGATGGTTTTGGTTTCTTGAGCAATTCTCCTACGCAGTGTTTCATAGCGACAACTTCTACCTGAAACACTGTTGCGTTCTGTCCGAGGCTGAGTGCGAATCCCGTCTTTCCTCTGCTTCCTCATATGGCGGCTCCTACTCCTTCTTTGGGATTTAAGCCGACGCATACCAAGTTTCCTCGGCTTCACCCAGTTGGCCGTTTTTCCAGTCCTCTCTGCCTGGTGTGATAGTTTTGAAGGTTACATAGAAATTATACTGCGATACTGTATTGTCCACTGGCATTTCCAGTACTGGATCAGCTCAGTTCGTTGTGAAGTTTAAGGATTTCCTTCCTGTCCGACTGATGGCTGATCGGAGTTGGCCTCTGCATCAGCATTTGTGTCACCATTCGCGGTTTTCTTTGTACATAAATATGTAGTGGTGCATCTCAAGAGCTGCACTGCCGTGACACTCAGGCATGTTACTTGGTAGCCTTGTTCTTGTCCACCATTCTATGGCCTCATATGTTATCATGGATATTTTTACTTTTGTATATAGCCATAGTGTTTTTTTTGCCTTTCTGGGAGACATTTGAGTTGTCTATTTCTTCCAAGTGTCAGGAATACAATGCGGCCTCAAGGGCTTGTAGCGTCTACCCCATAATTTTCATAACACCCATTATAACAACATGGTTCTCTATACTAGTTTCTACAGGTCACTATCTGAATGTTTGTCAAATTCTTATGAATATGATTTGGGTTGTTCATAAATCGTTTGTCTCCTGTGATGTCCCATATTCGCCCATGTCTTCCCAGTAATTATGTTTTTTAGGGCCTCTTCCCAATCTAATTCCTTACCATCCACAGCTGGTTCAGGACCTATATAGAGTTCAGTTCAGGGTCCGTGCTTGGACCATTCTTTCGCTTTCTGCGATGCCTAAGTGTCCTAGTAATCACTATATAGTCAACCTATTCCCACCCGCAGGTTTCCTCAGTTTTTCACGGTATTCCCATACAAGTTTTGAAGCCACTTTTGGGCTCATCAGTAAAGCCTGGCGAGGGCATGGTTAGAATTAGCGAAAATCATAAGTTTTATAACAAATTTTACTCAAAACTTGTGGCAAAATTGTATATAAATCTACAAGAAGATGTTTCTGGATTATATGACTAAAAAGTTTTCTATCAACTAACAAAACGCAACAGAACAAAGGAAACAAACTAGCAATCCGAATACCTACCGCTATCACTTTCAATTGTATTCAGAACTCATCATATCTCATATAGAAATATCTGTTGCAACACATTTAAAAGGAGAAACGTCATATCAGATCAACCTAGATAACTTCACTGGAGAATCCAAATATCCCCGATCTCCGCGACCATTCACGAGTAATGTGAAAGCCTAGTAATGTCATCGACATGATATAACATTATTATTCGTGAAATTCTCGGGAGTCTTCGTATCCACCGTTCGCGATGTGCAAAATATTTATTCATAAATAACGATAGAAATTTACTTTCTCTTCTAAATTATCGAGCGACGCGACGTTGTCGTTTTTCTAAAAAAAACATCGCCGGCGATTGCGAAGTCGCACATCTTCTATCGTAAACGAAAACTATCTACTACGTTTCCCGATTTCCGACACGCCAAAGTAGTACCGTAACGTATGAACTAACCGAAATAATTGGCCTAGCAGCGTTTAGATACGCCGCGCCGTTGGCCTCAATGGCGTTTAAATCGCATCGAACAAATATTTACAAACACAAACATGATGGATATGCGTCTCGAAATTAAAGATAGGCCGTGAACGGTAGTTCATCGAATGTTCTGTCATACAACTGTCACAATATTTATCGTGAATCGAGAGGTATCAACACGAAAAAGAGAATACACCGCGACACTAACGCGTTTCGAAGAGAGAAAATAACTGGGTACTTCAACGTTCGATATGGAAAATTTCGTTAGAATATCGCCTCGACCTTTGGCTTCCCTGCGAACGAGTATGGCAAACGTTTACATCTACACAAAACAAATTTATTATCTTTACTGATAGATAGTGAACCTTCTAGGAGTTATTTTTTTCAATGAAACATTTTTGAAGTCCTCCAGATTTGTGAAAAAAAATGATATAGAGTAGAAACAAAAGAAACTTCCATTCACGCCGGTGGCCAGGCCGGTGCAGATAACCACGTAAGAGAGGCAGTGTGATTAAAGAACAACATCCACCTAGGTGGTAAAAAAATCTCCCGGGTAGGAGACAACAAAAAATGTGAATGTGATTTATGTGAAGGGGGGAAAATCTGGAAAAATCAATGAGCAAAGAACATGGGTGGGTAGCATTGCCAAAAACAAGCTACGCCCCCACGACAAAACTCCTGTATTTCGTCACAGGAGCAGAATGGGCAAATGCGTCGGATTACAAAGCAACGATCAACCAGAATAGAAACAACAAAGAATTGAACAATCATATATGGTTGAGTGATTTTGATGAATTTACCTGTTTGAATCGTTTAATTGCCTCCAGAAATGATTTCGGGAATGATGAATAAAGAATAATTTAACAAAAACTGAAGAATGCTTTACCTGGGCATTTATTTTCTATGGTATGTGAATTGTATTCAACTTGTGGAATGTGGAAAAATAAGTAGAACGACCAAATTAGTGATTGACGTTTATTTCTTTATCATTTGACAACCTTTCACCAAACTTGTCATTCTTCACAACCGTATAAGTACTAGTTTAAGTACTTTAGGTATATTCTTTCTAATAATACGTTTGTTGGATATCAGAAGTATGAATACTTTAAACATTTACCGTTTTGTAATGCGACTTCAGTTTAAATAATTTCAATTGAAATAATAATAATATTAATATATTATACCGAAGTGTTTTCAATACCTGAACTTGTTTACAGTTTTCATTAGATTTCTCGCGAACTGTTGATAGCAAAGGTCAAGTATGGGGTGTTTTCGAAAAGGTGAACGACCTTCAAGATGGGGTATCACTCAACGTTCAATTGAACTTCAGTTGGAAAGTAGCCTATAAAATGGCCCCAATTGAAAATAAGTTTGACGTATTTTTGCATACTTTTAGATATTTCTATAGGGGCCGGAATTGACACACTGTATAGTCATCACGTACAGAGAAAATCACTTGTACGAAATTTAGGTACAACAATTGATGTAATTAAGTCTTTTGACAGCACGCTTAAAGACCACAATACTTTTTAAGGTTAAAACAATGGCAATGATAGACACTATTAGATATTTTCAATGCCTTGAAAATAAAAAAATGTCCTCGATATGTCATCCAATAAATATTCCCAACATCGGAAGAGACAGAATATCCGTTCGTCAAACGGTTATTCTTTCATTTATTTGAATATTCATAGCTAGGGAGTAGGAAAACTGAACGTTCATTTAAAATTCACTACGCGCTATCTATGAAACGGCAAACTTCACTCTTCACACCTACGTGGTAC